TAAAAGCTTTGGTTTCAGAAACGTAACGCCCTCCACCAATCACCAATACGCAGACGCACGGAGACCACAATCAACCTAAGAGCTCTCCACTGTCCACTGTAATCATCTTGAGAGCTGGATCCTGCGCAACCCTCCAATCTCTGCTGGCTTCGGCGAAATTGTGTAAACTGACCAGCCCCCCCCCAAACGGTTGTGCGTCTGACTACAGGAACGGCTTCAAAGCTCAACGGTTTTTCTTCGAATCGATCGAAAACAGCCTTCAAACTCGAAAGATCAACTTAACGGAGTGGTTGTTTTTCCCTTTCGTTTTTTTTTTTGTTTTTTTTCTGCTGTCATCTAAGAAAGGTTTGGTGGTCTTGTGTCGTTTGACGACTTTAAAGTGTGCTCTATATCTTCATAACTGACAGCGCTTCAATACTGAAAGGAAATACTCGTACAAAACAGACGGACATTTAAGACAAAACCCCGAGACTGGGGAGGGGGGGGGGGGGGGGGGGGGGATTTGCAACACAACACAAAGTCTCAAAAAAGAGAGACTTGAGATTTCGTGTTGTGGTGTCCTTTTTCACTCCCTGTCTCGGGGTTTTGTCTTGTTTGAGCCCTAACTTTTTATTCGTACAGACGGACAGTCGTTGAGAGACGCTCGAAAGGGCTCGTAGTAATATTTGCGACTGTTTGAAAGCCATTGTACTTTTATAAAACAGTTGTACGTCCTATACACTCATAGTGCTCATGTTTGTTTGCAGGTTTAAGAGTGATTGACCGACACTAAGGGGGGGGGGGGGGGGGGGTGCGAGCGGATACTGTTTTTTTTTTTTTTTTAACAGACAATTATTCTAGATCCTTTACAATTTTATACAGCTAATGCCGTTTACATTTCTGATAAAACAAAAAGCAAAAAAAAAAAAAGAACACACATTAAGAGTGCACTTTAAACACTTCGTGCGTCTTTTTTCTTGTTGCATAAAAAACAGCAACAAAAAAGACTGTGCTGAAGATTATCTTTTTCCCTTGGGTTGTTTTCCGATGCGTCCTTCAGCAAGACTTTAGCAGTGCTATATGTTCGCACCTTGCGTTCGTGCCGCTATTACTGCGGCACATCCATAATGTCGCTCGTTTTTCTCAACCAATTTTTCTCATACCTTCGCACCTCCTATACTTTAGCTCTCAGACTAAGGTAAACTTGTTTTTTAGATTTCAAAGTTTAGGGGGGCAACCTGCTTTTTTTTTCCAAACTTTCTACATTATTTATGACCTGTCTCTCCCTCTTTCTATCTTTTCTTTTGTTTTCAGCCTCTCTCCTCATCTTTGTACACAGCCGCATTAAACTCCAAACTAACTCTGACGGTCCACGTATTTTAACGTTAATGTATCCAGTTCATGTATTCATGATGGCGATGCTTTGTGTTTTTCTCCTCATCGCATGGCGGTCATTTTTCACTTGCCATCTTTCTTTTTTTTTTTTTAAACTGCGGGCATAGTCATTGACAAGATAATTAACGCTGGAGGTTTTAAGTTGTTCCGCCTTCGATAACGCGTCGGCAGCTCGCGAGCTTCTAGCGCGCACGCGCAGTCAAAGCACGACGAAAGGCAAGGAATGCAAACTAAAGAACGGACATCCGGAAGAGACACGTTCTTCTTCTCATCCTGCCAGTGTCTATAGTGACAAGAAATTTGACCAAGTTAGATGGAGAAAATGAAACCCGGTTTCTTGGCCCGCAAAAATAAACTACGCATTGCAGACAGCTGAAACTCCGTGAGAATGTGACGTTAGTGTTGTTGATAAAATTCAAAAGCTTGAGCACGTGACGTTGCCTGGATTGAGAGATAGAAAAGAAAAAACGAAATGTCTCAAGAAGCTATACGTGTACCTAAACCCAATATTCGTTAAACCGTAATTTGAAATTGTGGGCGCCTGTAGCCATTATTTCAGTGAAAAAAACTGACCACTTAGAAAGGTGATACTGTTTTTTTTTTTCGTGCAGACAAGAGTTTTCACTGGCATAATTGCTATAGGCACCCACAATCTCAAATTTTGGTATGATAAAAATTCAGCTTAGGGTGACGTTGGCTCATAAAGAAAGTTCGTTTCCCTTTAGTATCTCTTGATTCATGTAACATCATGTGGGAGGCTACGGAGGGGAAGTTATGCCACTCCTCCCCCCTCCGTACCCTCCCCTCCACTTTAGCGGAAAATTTTCGCTAAATTCAGCGGGGAAATTGACGTCACGCGACCTCAACACCAATTCAGTTTAGATCCATGGTCTAGCAATTTCTCCACATAATTATCGCACAAAGTTAGGCAGTTATTGTGATGTAGCAGAAACTTTTAAATACACTCCCCCTCCCCTTCCTAAACAAGGTTGCCAGCTGACTCCTCACGTCATTCCGTGATGCGCCAACAAGAGCGTGCATTCGCCGCGCATATTTGTGTTCGGAGGAAACTGCACAGGAAATTTCGGCAAGGACAAACAGGCGTCCTTGATAATCGGGGTCATTAAAGGACGTCTGTTACAATTGACGCTTTCGTTGGACTTAATATAAAATTTAAAAAAAAATCGCAATTTCTTGTTGTTGTTATGAGGCTGCCGTCACACTATACTCATAATAAATACGAAAGACGGTCAGCAAACATTGACTGCGGCGTGTTTCTTCCTCTTCTTTCTATTATATCCGTCATAAAAAATTAACAACAACAAAAAACTACCTGCAGACATGTTTGAAGCATGCATATGTACGAAGCTTCGAACTTGCTGGAGCCGTGTCCGCAGTGAATTATGTTAACACGTTTGCAGCGAACACAGTCTTTTGTGCGATGTTCGGGCAGTGTGGCTCCGGTTTTAGGGTTAAAGTCGGTTTCTCAACGCACGTCGATGGGGTTTTTCTTTTTACGCCGACACGATGGTGAGATACAAATCTTCGGTGCGCCTAATACGCGCGACGTGCTACACATCACGCGGATTATAACGGGGCACATTGAGAGGTCAACCGGTCGTAAACTTCCTCCGAGACGACACGAAATTCCAAGATAACCGAGAGTCACTGCTTTCATTTCGTCAGCGCCTTCGTGAGGTGCGGGCGTCGTGAGAGTATAAATTTACGTTACATTTAAAAAAAAGAAAAAAAAAATGGAAGCAAAATTCAGTTATTACATGTGGTTTCCGCTACCGGTTCTTTGGCACGACGCCGAAACCTGCGGCGCTTCGACGCGACGACACCTCGAAAGGATATATACTAAAAAAAAAAAATCAGCAGTATAAAGATAAAAAAAGTTATTACATCATTGCGCAATATCGTAGCGGATTTAAAAAAAAAAAAAAGTCAAAGTCCGTGCAAAAAACATAACGAAAAAAAAAAAACGAAGTAACTTTTAGGGAATTTTGTTTGCGGCTTCCGTCGGCGTCTGGACTTTATAAATTGTAAAAAAAAAAAAAAAAAAAAAAAGAAAGATATATGGTTTCAATCAAAAACTTACTGAGTATCATCGAAAAACCACAAAATCTGTAATTTTAAGAAAGACTTTGAGCGCGTGAGAAGCGTAGTAGTGCGCTGAAGTTACCACTCGTGGAGAAGGCACAACGCTAGCGGTTGAAATATGGCGCCCGCGCGATGTTTCTGTCTCATACCAGAGCCCCAGCCTTGAACGTGCTCCACGAGTGGTAACTTTAGCGCACTACTACGCTTCTCAGGCGCTGAAAGTCTTTCTGAAAATTACTGATTTAGTTGTTTTCGATGACGCTCAGCAAGTTTCTAATTGAAAGTATATGTCTGTTTTCATTAATTAAAAAGGTGAATTAGTAATTTTTAATTAATTAACGAAATAATTAGTAAGTATCGCGTATTTTCTGATGTCCGCCACCACGACTAATGGCGGTCCCGAGAAAATGATATTTTTTACTTGAAAACACAAATTTTAGGAATTATTTTCAGTCTTCGCTAAAATTACTTGGTATATATAGATTACACCAAAAGTCATGAAAAGCGGAGTTCTTCTAAATCCTCCTGTATGATTGAAAAAAGTCCCTACACCCCCCCCCCCCTCCCCCCGCTGCCTTCTCCCCCTTTCCCCCAATTTTACTAAAAAAGAAAAGAACAATAGAAGAATATGGCAGCTCCTTGTTGAGTTCGTTTTGTCCAGGCTCCCGAAAAGTAAAATCAGCTATGTTAAACCTGCTTCCCGGAATTTGCGCTTTAACATTCAGTATCTGTGATTCCTGCTATTTTCTAAGAACGTTTCTGATATTTTTCTTTTTTGTTTTAGTATATGTTTTTACCAGTGTAACGGCAGTCTCAACCCCTTCGCTCTTGTTTTTCTTGTAGAGATGAAAATGTTCAAGACAATATTAAATAATTGTATTCCTTATTCTTGAAGTTATGCACGGTTAAAGATATTAAAACCACGCCTCATTTGGAATCGATAACAAAGAAGACACTTCAACTCATCGCTCGGCGTTGATAATAACGCTTTATTAAAATTGCAATTGCGATCACAATGTGCCACAGCGGTTTATCTATTAAGTTTGGAATTATCTGGTTTTCTCATGATGGATATTAGATGAAAACAATGCAAAGTAATACACGAACATTCAGAGCTAAACATTATATATATATAAAAAATGGCAATGAAATTCCCGCGGCGAGTAAAATATACCTGGACTAAACAAACTTTCTTTAAAATATTTTCACTTTTTCTTTTAGTCAAACAGAAAGGATTCCTTTGTAACCACACGATTAATAAAAAAATAACACAAATGAAGTGAACTACAACTACGTTATTTTGCTATAAAATTAAAATCGACGTAATACTTTTGCCCATATATTTCTTTTTTATAGTGAATCATTGTATCATACCTCGCAATTTACGGGATCATAATAATATTAAAAAAACAACAACAACAAAATTTCCGAAAAATTCCTTAAATTCTTCGAACATCACCTAGATGCCTTGCGCCACACACACACACACAAGGAGAGTTATAAGAACTTAAAAACAAACTCACCACTTTGTTGCGTGGTCCCCCGCAATGTGTAGAACCGCTCTCTTTATGGCGCCATTGAAGTTGCGCGATATTAAAAATAAATATGAAAAACAAATCTTGCTTCTTCAAAGCAATCCGGGTGAAAGCTCCATCTTCGCGGTTCCGAAGGTCCTGAAATGAATTTTTAAAAAAAGAGGGGGAAAAATAAATTAATACAAACATCAGAGACGATAAGAGATACTCGGCCTAAAAAAAGAGCAGCAACTATTTTAGCGAGTTAAATTGAATTCCGGCTCAGGCGTTTTTCACACCTGATCAAAAGATAAACCAGCAAACAGAACGAGTAAACAAACACGGCAAACTTCTAAAAAGATGATATGGCAAGAACCCAGATAAATTGGTTTCGAGAAGTTGTATGGGAGAAGTTTGCAAGCCGTATTAAAACCACCACGCGGCTGAGTTGCGAGGTGTTTCGAAGCCGATTCCAGGAGACGCGAGTGTAGGATGTAATCAAATTTGCATTTTTCACAGCATACCATCTACATAAACGTCGCTCCAGAGTGCTCATTCTCTCTTTTTTTTTTTTTACTTTTTTTTTAACATTTTCCCGGAGGCAGCATCCTCCATAAGTTGAAAAGGTTTCTATTTGATAAATATATACGTGTGTGTGTGTGGATGGTGTTTTCTTTTCTAAGAGTGATACTAATTGAAAAAGAAAAGAACACGTGAACGTTGCACTTATGCGGTTTGTACAGTTGAGTTATACAGCCCGGATGACATAGTATAGGAAGCTAATCATAACGATCCGCCGACTAATTAAGTAAAATTTGTTACAGCGGAGCTGTTAGGGGCAAGTTTCCCCAGTATATGGTGTCCGCCAGCAAAATGATGACACAAAACTCTGGACAGCTACCACCATCTTTGAGCGACGGCGGAAACCAGACAGCCGGATTGCCGGTTGTCTGGTTTCCGCCGTCACTCATAGATGGCGGCAACCTTTCCAGCCTTTCCACTTTGGCTTGCCGACTTCCGGCTGGCCGTTACTTCATTCCCACCATAGATTTCTTGGTCTTCCTTCTTAAGCAGAGTGAAAAGGCTGGGTGATTTTTTAATTAACTTTTAGATTAGTAAAAGTAGACAATATTGCAATTAGAAACTTGCTAAGCGTCCTCCAAAACCAATAAATCAGTTATTTTTACAAAGACTTTGAGCACGTGAGAAGTGTACTACTGCCCTAAAATTACCACGCGTGGAACAGGGGCAAGGCTGGGGCTCTAATAAGAGACGAAAAAATGGCACGGGCGCCTTACTGCAACCGCTAGCCTTGTACCTGCTCCACAGGTGGTGACTTTAGCGCACTATTCCGCTTTTCACGCGCTCAAAGCCTTTCTAAAAATGACTGATTTAGTGGTTTTCGATGACGCTCAGCAAGTTTCTAATTGGAACAATATTTCTATTTCTAGTCATTAAAACGTTAATGAACCCATTTTACCTAATTAGCCGGCCGATCGTTAAATTAGCCCCTATACCATGTCCACTTGGCCGTGTAACTCAACTGCACAAACAGCATATATAGCGTTCAGGGCTTTTCTTCTTTTTTTTTTAAAAATTAGTGTCCGTTTTAGAAAGAAAGAAAAAGGAAAAGACGTTTACAACTCCCTGTAGTGCCGAATTAGAGCGCAGCTCTTGAGGAGAAGGAGGGGAGGAGAGGAGGGGAGGATGAGGAGGGGAGGGCGGCGGCGACGCGTCACGAAAAAGCGTGACGCCGATGCGTTACGGCGACGGTGACGCGTCACGAAAAAGCGTTCCGCCGATGCGTTACGGTGACGCCAACGCGTCTCGGAAAAGCGTTACACCGATGCATTACGGCTACGGCGACGGCGACGCGTCACGAAAAAGCGTTACGCCGATGTGTTACGGCGACGCCGACGCGTCACGAAAAAGCGTGACGCCGACGGCGACGGCGACGCCGCTCAAGCCGGAAACGGGCGCTTAAGAGCCCCCTACACTCTAAAACATTACACACACACACATACACACTTATACAGGGTGTTTCTTTTTAGGTGTAACAGATTTGTTTTAAAAAAAGCCGTGAAAGCTACACTTTTGCAGTTTGTGAAGGTTAGTTACACGGCCCGGGGGACATTGTGAAGGTGGGCGAAACGTAACGATCAGACGGCTAATTAATAAAACTATTCTTAATTAACGTCTTAATTGGTGAAAATAGACATATGGTTCCAATTAGAAGCTTGCTGAGCGTCATCAAAAACCACTATATCAAATCTTTTTAGAAGGATATGAAGTAGAGGCAGCATTTAACGGCGTTCTAAAAAAGCGCACCATTTGGACCCGTTTCTTAGTTTCGGTTTCTTATCGTAGCATCTCTGCGCCCGCGGTCCTCCTCTCCAGTGGCCGAAACGCGCATCACACTTCCGCCATTCTTCTCCCCATCGTGCGAGGAGGCGAGGGGAGTGCTTCGCGCCACGACCACGGGGGAGCAGGACCGCGGGCGCAAAGATGCGCTCCGATAAGAAACCAAAACCCGAAAACACGTCCAAACCGATCGCTTTTTTAGAATACGTAAAAATGCCCCTGCTCCTGCTTTATAGCGTTCTAAAAAAAGTTGTTTAGTTGTTTTCGATGACGCTCAGCAAGTTTCTAATTAGAACCATACGTGTATTTAAAAGATTAATTAACAAATATTAATTAATTAACCAATTTATCGTTACGATTAGCCTCGTATACAATTTCCCCCTGACCATATACCTAACCTGCACAAACCGCATAAGTGTAGCTTTCACAGCTTTTTTTTAAACAAATATGTTACTCTTTAAAAGAAACAATATATATATATATATATATCTATATCTATATATATATATATATAAATGAGTTTGCCTTTGTGATATTATAGATTCATGAAACGAAAACTAGAGCCCGTTACATTTCTCCTACAAGGGACGAGTAAAACAACGCTTAATCTTTATACATAATTTTTTTTTTCTTTTTAATATTGGACATAAACAAGGGTACCTACTCTCGAAAAGATAGTAAAACAATAGTGTAGCGGGCCCCAGAAAACTTGCCCGCTATACTCCCTAAGGGGAGTAGAATGGCAGGAAGGTCCTTCCTCCAGCGGGATCTTACTACTACCTTCGATAGCACTGCGGCGTCTCATGAGGTTCGAGCGTGCACGCGGGGGTCAAGCCCGACAAAATACAACGAAATTATGCTAGTGTCTGAGGTTCCGGGCATCCAGAGAGGACGCCCCGCCGTTCTTATTCTGTCAGTGACTATACACCACTCCAACATTTACGAGAGCTCAGCCAAGCGTGAGATCTCCTCAGCCCAACAGGCGCATGTTTGTCACTTCGCAAAGCGAGCAAATCGTGCGCCATACTCACGAATACCGAAAATGGAACCGGCCAAGAGCCCTCTTCTGAAAAGATATAGCACTGGAAACGTGGACCGCGAAAGTACAGCTCTACGCCTGTAGCTCTCGAGGGAGCGCCTATCTATGGCGAGCAAAAAGGCATAATTTTAGGGCGCACTTTGCCTACGCATCATAACGCTCCCTTATTCTCGACGCTGCTCGCGGGCGATATGAAGGAAAAGAAAATAAACAAAACGGCCGAAAACAACGCGTTCTCGGCGTTTCTATGGACCTACTGCTAAATTACCCAAGCATCAAGGAGAATGCTGGGAATGTAAGTACAGGCGCCGCACGCGCTCGCCTTCCCCGTGTAAAAGATTCGAAGTAAATAACCGAAATAAGGCGTTGACGAACGCGCGTGCGAGATGCCATTTGTTTATAGGCCTTTGCTTTAGAACAGTTACTGTCGCAGACGCCAGCACGTGCGGCGCGTAGACTTGAATTCCCAACATACTCCTTGATGCTTGGGTGATTTAGCAGTGCGCCGAGAAACTGAGAGAGGAGGAGGATACGAGAGTTTCCTCCTCTCCCTCCGTTCCTCAACACAGTCACGTGCCTGGGTTGGCGATGCTTATACGTATCCCTAGCAGAATGAGAACGGTAGGACGGCTCCTTTGAGGCTCGTTCACATAGTAGCGTTCTAGTGCGACTGCAAGCACTTGTGTCAAGTTAAGGCTGCTTGCGTCGAGCTGTTGCCATGGCGACAGTTACGACGAGCCTTTGGGGAGGCGGCGTGCTGTACGACGCAACACAGCGCAACGCGGTCGGGGCAAATGTGGGAATGAGCTTTAAGTCACCAGGCCTTCAGCACGCGCACGTTGCCTTCCGTGGTGCTTTGGCTGCGTGTGCCCGCTCGGGACCCCTCGATACACCGTAGAGCTTTCGAAGGAAGGAAGGTGGCGCTAGAGGCTGGACAACCGAAATTCCTCCGTGTCCTTCTCATCCCGTTGGGGCCTGTAGCACGTGTTGTGCGACGGAAGTCGTTAGAGTTGGACGACTTTCCTCGCCGCACTAATTGGCCACGAAATGCGTATCCGAATATTTGCCAACAGATTGTTTGTCAGCGAGAGCAAGTCCGGCTGATGACCCAGTTCTGGGCTCAATTTGTGAGCAGCATTCGGTTGTTCTGTGTACGAGCCTAATAGGCGGGCACCGGAAGTACTTCCGGTTCCCGTTACGTCACGACACACGTGACTTCTCTTTTTTTTTGTCGGTGAGCCAAGAAGGAACGCCAAATCGTGTTCATCTGTGCGTGTGTGTGTTGTGTGTGTGTGTTCGTCTGCGCGCTTCCGAATTTGGCTGTGAGTCGCGCCACCCAGTATGCCTTTGTATGTGTGTGAGTCACGCAATCAGACGACGATTTCCAACGCCATGACCTCGTGCCCGTAGCATTCCCAAAGCTTCAACTATAAGCATAAACCAATGCGTACTTCAGCTCTTCGCCCCATCAATCGTTAAGGGTCATATTTCGCGGCCAACAGGCGACGGCAGTACACGGAAGTAATAGGTCGCATTCACGCTGCTCATACGTCATACAAAAGACACGGAGTTTCTCCGCGGACTTTTTTTAATGATGTATTACCAGTGTGACCTCGGGTTAAAAGGAGCGATGACTGTCGCAAGCAAACGAATCTTAGTAAAAAAAAAAAAAAAAAAGAACTTGGTTGGTGTGTTATTTTTAGCACTTTCAATACCAGTTAGCTTGGTTTTAACATGCACGTATTTTAATGCTACAGCA